TTTCTACGAGCCTTTACAACACATTTTTATCTCATCATTTAATTTCTGTTGTGCATATATTGTTGTATAGAAGATATTTTAATGTGATTCATCAGGTGGAAAACGAAGTTTTATAATAATGGAATGTACGAAAAGTGACCCAAAAAACGGGGCTAACTCGGTAACCCGTGGCCCGATGTTAACGAAACTTGTTTCTATTCTCATTTCATTACACATATGGTGCTATTGTGCACTGTTTTGCTGTATTTAAATACAAACAAGCACACACACACAAACAAACAAACAATCTCAGAGTTTTAGTAGTATATAGATAAATAGATAGATTATTATTCTTTTGTGAGCTATTTATGAAAAAGACATTCAAAAAATAATGTAAGAAACACATTATTAGATTTCGAAAGAAAGTCTTTTATATTTCCTGAACTACTTAGGTCGAAATTATTCGTTTGATTGTTTTCAGAAATTTTGCAGAAAGCTACACAAAGGCTATTTGCACATAGCTGTCCCTGATTTTAAACTGATAGATTAAAGGAAAGGCAGCTAGCCAACAGTATTTACTGCAAGCTTTTGAGCTACTCTTGTCCTATTGACTAGTGAGGTATGTTGTCATTCGTATAGCTTTATTACAGGACGGTACTATGAGCTTACTATTCCCTTAGTTAATATATAATTTTTCAAAATTTTTGTTTTTACTTATGTTCAGTTTGGACACAAAAAGCCATTCAATAAACACATGAAATATTTACTGTTTCTAGCTCTGTCAGGAATTTGGCTCAGTAATTGGCAATTAATCCAGTTTTCTTGCAGGATATATATAGCTTGTGATGTCCCAGAGAGAAGTATATCTTTTCTGTCTATGAATCGGGCAATGGCTTAGGTTTTCATGTCTTTGCACTTACATCGTAGTAGATGATGGTTATGTGGTTGATAAATGAGGTTGCAGCCTCGTTTTGTGCCTGTAAGGTAAATTTTGGTAACTTTATGGCTTGGGATTTAATATAACTTTTCGTAAGATATAGTGTAAATTTCATTATAATCTTAACTTTGTTTTCAGTTTAGATTTTGCTGTAACTTGATGTGCTTTGTTTTGTTTTATTTCTACTTAAGTAGTTTAGTTTTGAAGTTTTACCTTACCCGGGAGGGGGGGGGGGCATACACACCACTGGAATGGTGAAAAAGAAAACTCTCTGATGATGACAAAACCTTATCGAAACGTTGTACATTTGCTGTTATGTTAAACCTATATTACAGTTTTTCTTCATTACCCATTCAAGCCATCTCCAAGCATTATTAGTCTCAAAGTGGGTTCCTCGTCATGGAATTAGAGATCTCTAGAGTTTCACTTCGCTTCTTTCTCTCTCTCCAGTCCAACATACTCATTACAAACACACTTGCCCTTGGTTTGTTTTAGCGTTGTATTTGTCTCTGTCTATTTTACTTATTAAATATTGTAGCTTGCATTTATGTATTTTGACCTTTTTTTTTTAAGACGAACTCGTTAAGGCCTCATATTTTGTGTTTGATATCCGTCGGACCTCCCCAAATTAGCGGCCCCAACTATTGTTCTTTGGTAAATCCATGTAAAGAAGTATACCACATAACACATTCAAAACCTAAAAGCGCATAGTGCATTTTAGCGGCAATGGGACGAGAATAATGAACCATTGGATTCAGACTCAGGGCACGGTAACCACTAATCCACTTCTGATCCTAATAGAAAATATATTAGTTGTACCAATTTTAGCTCATCCCTGATCTGTTAATTATAGCGCCATCTAGTAAGTGTGAGTAATACATGATGAAGAGGGTTGTGATGTGTGTGTGTGTTTGTCTTTTAATGTGAATTGTGTACTTTGCATAGTTTAATGTAAATGTCATTATTTAAGGAAAACATACTTGTGATCGTTATATCCTAAAGATGGCGACTAGAACTGTTTGAATCAGCGTAAAAGCAACGATAATCTTACCACTTAGAGCTATTTCAAGCCTAATAAAATATAGTTGGTTTTTAAATTAAATATCCGTAAGCCTAATAAAATATAGTTGGTTTTTACATTAAATATCCGTAAGCCTAATAAAATATAGTTGGTTTTTACATCAAATACTCGTAAAATAATTTGTTTGTAGGTAAGCACACAAAGCTACACAATGGGCTATCTATGCTTTGTCCACAACGAGTATCGAAACCTGACTTTTTGTAAAATAATTTGTTTGTAGGTAAGCACACAAAGCTACACAATGGGCTATCTATGCTTTGTGCACAACGAGTATCGAAACCTGACTTTTTGTAAAATAATTTGTTTGTAGGTAAGCACACAAAGCCACACAATGGGCTATCTATGCTTTGTCCACAACGAGTATCGAAACCTGGCTTTTTGTAAAATAATTTGTTTGTAGGTAAGTACACAAAGCTACACAATGGGTGATACTCACAAGGGTTTGTTGAGACGCAGAATCTATGACAAAGTTGCACCTTTGGCCATCCAGCTTTCCTGTCACGTAGACACTATGTGTACTTGCCATTTTACACTTAGCTGTTGAGACTTTCACAATGGGGGTTGGTGGGCGTCTCTCAGCACCAACCACTACTGGTTTCCCGAAGCTGACTTATTGGTAATGTTCTTCTTACACTGGTTCCTCATATGTCCTTGCTCTCCACAGTTCCAACAAGCTTTCTGGGTAGCTGCCTTTCCTGCCGTGGCATCTTCCCTGTGTTAAAGTTTTCTGCATTGAGCTTTCTTGTTACAGGTTTGTTACAGTGCCAGCAAAGTCCCTCAAACCTCTCTGAAAGCTGACCTTTTCTGGCCTTGAATCCTGATGACTGTACCAGCCTTGGTACCTCTGTGCTGGACTTAACGTAGGATTCAAATTCAAGAGCTCTGGCCATTGCATCCTGCATAGTAGAGGAGTGTGCTTGCTTTACTTGTATCTTCAGTTGTGGACTGTCCAAGGCATCTACAAACTGCTCCCTCAGCAACAACTTGAGGAGATCGAGTGGTGCAGTTGGGTAGGCCTTGCGTGCCATACTTTCCAAGTCCTGTGCCAGCTCTTGCAGGCTCTCCCCTTTAGCACGGACTCTCGTCCTAAACATAGCCCTGTAGACTTCAGACTGATTTTGAGTTCCATACCTGAGTTCTAGAGCCGCTACTAGTGCTCTATAGTTGTGCCTGTCGTCTGCTGACAACTGTCCAAGTGTTTCCAGTTGTTGTCCCTTCAAGCTCGTTGCCAGATAT